CAGATAATAATAAAGAACCACAACAGTGTTTCTCTACTCTTTGGATCTGATCCGCTGACCCAAGTGAAAGAGCCCTCATGAGAGAGACCACACCTTAAGCTTTCCTCTTTCCGCTTCCATCTGTCTGAAGCCATGCCCAAAGGGATGTGGCCACTGTTACAGGTTTACAGGCAAGACACTACTACAATATCCCTTTTAGTCTAAAGAAGAAGGTTTTAAGCCTTATGCAAAAACTATATACGATGATAACAAGTGTCAAGGATATTCTAGGAAAGGTAAACATACACAAATTAAAACCTACTACCAGTGAGAGCAACATTGAGCAATAGATACATACTATATATGCTGGTATTTTGTTTCCCATATGCCTTTGAAATGGGAGGGATCCCTCTCTTCCATGGCTTCTTCTCATACTGAGAGCCACCTTTATAGGCATGGCATTTGTTTCTGTATCCTCTCACCATTTTCCATCTTCCTGCATTGTTTTCTAATGTTCTACCACTTGGCCTTCTTATCACTCTCTTCTTCTATTTCCAGACAACATGATTCCCACAGCCCTGCAATCATTACTTACTCATGAGCTCAAGCCCCATACTTGCAACTGTCTTCTGAGCATGGTACCATATATGGCCTTTGGTCCTGTCAAGCCCCACAGAAAACAGAGGCTGGACCACACGAGCTCTGGAGCTCTGACTGGTCCTCTAATTCAGTTTGAACAAATGAGCAATTAAGGTGCTGTCTTTTCTCTCTGGTCTTAGTTTCCCTGTTCCTTTGTAATGATAATGTGTCAGCCATGCAATATATGGTGCCTTCCATATTTGTGCTGTTATATGAACATGCATGCAAGCACATGGATGTGGGAGTTGCGTACACACTTCCATGTACACATGCATGCCTGTGCATGCACACGATAAAACTGAAGAATTGAATTGACCAAATTAACTTACTTGGGAAGTAGTTTGTAGTAGTGTCTTATTGCTATTGAGATAACAGCTATCTTCATGTAAAAAGAAAAGCTGTGGTTATGTCAAGAAGCATTACATAGCAGTATATATGTAATTCAATGGGTATTCATTTTCCTCCCTTCTCTGATCTGAGAGCTTGATGGCTCACAGAAAGGTGCCGAAACAGAGCTTTACATCTTGAAATGAACTGACTGGCTTATCCTGTGGCTAATGGTTTGTAGAGCACAAGGAGAAAGAGCCATGTAAACTTTCTTTTGTTTATTTTCCCCAAATCATACATATAAATTTGTTGCAGTTAGTAAGCACCTTAAGTTTGAGACTCAGGTTTCTCAAATCGGAATATTAGAGCCCTGTCACTGGAAAACCAGATCTGTCTACCTCCTGGTCTTCCTGGAGAGGGAACTGAGACCTGGAAAGCCTTGGTGATCTACGCAAGCTCACAGCTTCCTACAGTACTGCAAGCCCTTGTCTCCTCACCTAGTCATACACTAGCATGCACCCCCCTTTTAAATACATTGAGTCCCTTTTTGTTGCCTAGCCTCAAGTGGATTCCCAAGCCCACTAGAAACCCCTATACATTCTAATTCTTAGTCCACTTTAGTATAATAGTTATACAAATATACAACTAGTAAAAAAAAGGCAAAGTTGTAAATATAACGGGGATACTTCTCAAATTTTAAAGAAAAGAATCCTAAGATAATGGAGGCTTCTCGTTTCTCTACTAGTTCAGCTCCTTTCAATACTCTCCAGGGTCATGTCCATAGGGTCCCCAATGCTGTGGAAAACATGCAAACACATTCACCTGAGTACAGGAATACTTTCCTGCCTACTTTTCCTCTTAAAGTATGACACGTGAGGGAACTGTATTTAACTATTGATAATTGCCATAGAGTTTCTACATCTTGTATTTTTCTGAGTTACAGAGCCATGGGAGTGGAAGAAGGCTAGTGGACAATACCTCCATGTGTATTCAATGAGAACAAATTCATGTGTGATGTTCTGGGATGGTCCAGCCATAGCTTTCACAGAAAATGTGATCCAGCTGAGATTTCTGCCGACTGTCCCTTTGGTGTTTCTTTTTACTAGTGCTTAGATAACAGTGCCTTCTATCTCACACAACATATTAGACGGGATTCTAAGATGTGGCTTATACCCCTATAACTTAATTCCCTGTTACCCTTTTAAATGGTTTTTACCTGTTGATATGTTAAATAGGAACTCATGTCATCATTAGAGTGATTGGGCATGTTCATTCAGAAGGTGGAGTTCCCAAGCTAGGTGTTATGGAGTTAGAGTGAAGACATGGGGACTTTACTGTTTCATGGCCAAACCTGGTGTAGCATGTGTACAGCTATAGCACGTCGGTCAGATCTGCACTCTATGCACTGACAGAATGGGAAGGTGTCACATGTCACAGGACTCCTGAGAAAGATGGTGCAGAATTGGCAGGGAGCCTGCCCAGTATTACCTGGAATGACCTGATAGGAACAAGGAGAATGGTTTGTGTCTGCTGCCTTCTTCCCAAATATCCAGCTTATGATGAAAATGAAGCCTTGCGAATCTCTTCCAGGAGCCTTTGGGAACACTGTGACATATGGCCAAACCTCTCCATGACTCTCTTTAATTATAATTTTAAAGTAACATATGCTATTTTTTTAAGTCTGACCTAACGTTCAGGTTTTTTTCTCTCCTGTACTACATATTGAACTTAGATTTTCATTTATGCTGGAATGTATGACTGAGCTAAACCCCCAGGACTGGTATACCTTTTTTACTGCTACTAGTATTGTTTTATTCAGCCTTGTTTCAGAATATGTATTTGTAGAAGCCAGTGATTTTCTGTTCCTCATAAATTTGAGCTGCGCCCAGACTATACTGATACTTTCCCCTTAGCCTCTCTCACATTCTTTGTCTCTCCCTCCCTCCCTCCCTCCCTCCCTCCCTCCCTCCCTCCCTCCCTCCCTCCCTCCCTCCTTCCCTCCCCCACCTCTCTCTCTCTCTGTGTTGTCTGTGACTACCACTGCAGCCCACTGCAGTCATCCAACACACATGTCAGCTGTCATATGTACCATACTCAGGCCTTTCCCTTGCTGTTGAACATCTTAGAATTCAGTTACTGTGGAATTCTTTGTACCTTAATTGGGGAATGGAAGATTGGTGGCAGGCATCTTATTTCCCCAGCAGAGTCTGTTTTTATGCCAGGTAACTTAGGAGTTTCTGGTGCAGTACAGATCATTTTTAGGTTTCTATTCGTTCAGTGAAGGCGCTTTCTTAAAATGACCACCAGGTGTCAGCAGAGGACGTGAAACTCTTGTCAACAGCCGCATTCTTGGTTTTAATTCACAGAAGCCATTCCCATTGGCATTCAGCCCCCACTGTCCCCCCTCAAAATTAGTGTCCAATACTTTCTCCCCAAGCCTGCACCATATCGTTACTCTTTTCTCACACAACACGTAATTCTGTCATGCACACTGACATATAAAGTAGGCTATTGGGGCAAGACAAGGGAGTTAGTACCATAACAAATCTCATATGTATTTTATCAAAATTCAGACGAAGCCTAATTATACAACATATAGTGTTAACACTACTTTATGACTTTTCTTCTTTCAAAAAGTCATGTATCGTGTGTGTGTGTGTGTGTGTGTGTGTGTGTGTGTGTGTGTGTGTTGCTGGTTCTCTCAAGTTTCTCCTCTTGCCTCTTCTTTTGGGTAGACTGGCAGGAATCTAAGGTCTGAAATGAGGAACATTTAGCTGGAGGATGGGACAGAACTGGGGACATACTTAGCCTCGGTTGCAAAAGTGGTAGTATTTGAAAACTGTCACTTTTGAATGTGTCACGAAGCCAGCAGTGAGTTGAACAATATAGCAACTGAGGGGACACAAAACAACTCATGGCTTCACTAGTCACAATTGCTGAAGCCTGGAACATGCAGGGACTGGAAAGTAGGGCCTAGCACACAGCCCTGAGCCTACTACTTTAAGTAAGGGTCTGATAAATACACAGGCCTGGAGTTTAGGCATGTTGTAAAGCATTCAGTCAGAATGCTTGGTGACATTTGACAAATAGCACTATAAACAATACCAAGAGATAGATATTCAGAGTCTTCTGTTGCTTTGTAATGAGTAACATATTGTGGGGTGGCACATCAGTCGGGATTCAAAACTATGTAGACTATTTTCTTTATAGAAATTCGATGCTAATGGGCAAGAATATCCTTGTTCTTAAAATGTTCAGGGTGGCCTTAAGACCTGCTCTGCCCTCACATGCCATGGAAGAAAGGAGCCAGCATTCTTTCCGGGAGCATGCCTAGCTCAGTGTCAGATGGGCACACACTGGAAGAGTGTCTCTCAGAAGTGTCTTCTTTAAGCAGCTTTTAAAAATTGTCCTTTATTGACTCGATTTCCAATTAATATAAAAACTACATTCCGGATATGTAGGGGGCAGGTCTAATTGCCTACCAGTCAATGTGCCTTTACTCTGTGACAGTTTTGGCTAATGGTATCTGACATTTTTTTGCTCTTCAAGGAATCTGTCAGCAAGTACATCTTGCTTCATGGAAGCTTGATTCTTGAACTGTGGTCACATTGCTCAATGTCTATAGTGGTTTGAATGAGAATGGCCCATGAATTTGGATGTTATATGTGTGTATATTTGTACTCCGTTTTTTGATAGAATTGGATTAGGATTAGGAGGTATGTATGGCCTTGTTTGTTGGAGGAAGTATGTCATTGGGGCCAGGCTTTGAGGTTTCAAAATCCCATGTCATTCTGAGTTCTCCCTCTTTGCCTGTGCTTATGGATCAGGATGTAAGCTCTCGGCTACTGTTGCAGCACTGTCCCTCACTGGCCGCTCCTATGCTCCCCACTGTGATAGTCATGTACTCCCTCGGGATCTGTAAGGCCCCGGTAGACTCTTCTGTAAGTTGCCTTGGTCATGGTCTCTCTTTCACAGCAATAGAAGAGTAACAAAGACAATGCCCATTCTCACCTCTTTTGCTAATAGCTTCATGCTGTCTTCTCCTCTGTTTGCAGATCACCGGTGTGATCCTGTTGGCTGTTGGAGTCTGGGGCAAGCTTACTTTGGGCACCTATATCTCCCTTATTGCTGAGAACTCCACAAATGCTCCCTATGTGCTCATCGGAACCGGCACCACTATCGTGGTTTTTGGCCTCTTTGGATGCTTTGCTACATGCCGTGGTAGCCCATGGATGCTGAAACTGGTAAGTATATCTCAGAATAATGGGCTTTCTCAGTTATTTTTGTAAGGCAATAAATCCACATGATGGTTAAGTAACCCTTCTTGAAGCCACACACAAAAGAAGACTTCAATACTCATTGATTTTTAATTTTACACCAGACTCTTAACTAATCCACCCTTTATCCCCAGACACAGCCTGGCACAGTATACATAGTCCCAACTTCCTGAGGTAGATTGGTAAAGTACTGGACATCGATTCCAGTGACAATTAATGTCTTCTTGGCATGATGCCCTGTGCTAGTCTTGAACTCTGGCTTGGAAATTTCCTCAGGCATTTGATGCGCAGCATTGGTGAGCAAGAGATCTTCCCGAGCACAAGCAGCCTTCCGTGTCCAAGGTCCCATTGGATCAGGTCTCCCTAAGTCCTTGAGTCTTGTCCAGCAAGAATGCCTGTGTATACTTGCACTCTCTCTCCCATTGCTGTGAGAGTTGAACTAAGCTAGAAACTCACTAAGTGCTGATACAATGGCAAGAATTGGCTTCCAAGACCACTGCCGAGGCCTGTACAATCATGTAGACAGAGCAGTAATGTATCCCCTGGTAAAGACAGACTGCTGAGAGGCTCTTACTGTGCTGTTAGCAGTCATTAGACTCTTATGGTTCTCCTTAGCCTTAGCCTTAGTAACTGAAAAATCACAAATAATAACAATTGGTCCAATATGGAGGCCCAAAAGGACTGTCTGAACACAGAGATAGATGTCTTTTCTCCCAGCTGCCTCTTATAGTTATCTTCCCATAGAACTTTTGGGTAGATGGTAGGGTCTGTATGTGTCTCTCCACAGAGTAATGGCACTTCTGATTGAAGTTTCTATGAGGTTTAGAGAAACATTATGTACCTAGGGCATCATGACCTCAAGCTTAACGTTTTGGTGGTTGTGCTGTTTGTTACGAATTTTGTTAATATTTACAAAAATAAATATTTTAACCAAGTGCTTCTTTAATTAAGTTTGTGTCACTAAGAAGAGTTATTATGATCCTATGCATGTTTGTATATGTACATATTACAGGTAAGTTATGTGGCATTGTGTAGTTCATCCAGATCATCATTTAGGGTCATTACAAACATTTAGAACTGATATATTTCATTTTGATAAGAGAGGAAGCAGGTCATAAGACATATGACTTGTTGCTAAGGAATTAATTCCTCTTCCATTTGTCTGTTTTTCAAAGTCAGAAAAAGGGGGAAAGCCTTCATAATGCAACATCATTGAACTCAGAAGTTTGCCTGCAAAGAGAGAGGAAGAAACAGACATAGACATAGAGTATGTGTGTTTCAAATTAGGAAGTGCAGGGAGAACAGATGAGAAACACTGGAATTATTATTAGCAGTGTCTTGTGTTTGCTTTCTTAGAGGCTATACCATTCACTCCAGAGGTAAGCATCCTGAAAAGAACCTGCTGAGGGTACAATGTTCAAGGATAACTACAATAGTGAAGAGGCGTGTCCTGCTATACACATTCTGGTCTTTGACAACAGATAAGAGGGTGCACTTCCAAATAAAGTGGGCTTGCAGTCACTTTGTATGAGATGTGGCCAAGAAAATGGAGAACTTTACCCAAATGCAAAGTGGCAGAAGCACAGCTCTGCGTCCTGGCCATGTTCATATATACAAATGGTTAATGTGCATATACTGCTTGATGAAAGCAGAACCAATACTGGCAAATGAAAATTGGAAGTAGGTAAACCTATGGCCGGGGACAAAGAAGTTATTCCAGTAATTGGAGTAGTTACAAAATAGAACAGGCAGGCGTGGGGTGGCAGCTCGGCAGTATCGTACTGAGGGTCCTAAGGTCCATGCCCAGAACTGCAAAAAGAGTGTAAAAGGGAATCAAAGTTATATGCACTGATTGACTTTGCACGTGCCATTAGGAAGAAGTTGGTTGAAAAGTCTCCCAAATTGTGACCAGCAGAACAGATATTTTGTTCTAGCTTAAATATTTTCATATTGAAAGTAGGTAACACTTTGTTGTGGATGACCCTTTCAGGTTTCTCCTGATTAGTCTAAGCTGATGGGCACAAGGTCAGTGACAGTTGAGTTCTCCTCAGTATCCATGCCCCAAAATGTTTGTGCATATTAAAAAGACAGTTTTCTATGTTGATACTCATGTGTGAAATTCTAAGAAAGCTATTTACATTCCTGAACTTTCTCTAGGGGTAATAAGGAATTGTCTAATTGCCCCTAGCATAAAGATGCTCACCCTGAAAAAAGCTCTCTTTTTAAAGTTTATTTATCTATGTGTCTGTCTGCCTGTCTGTCTCTGGCCATCTATCTATGTCTCTGTCTCTGTCTCTGTCTCTGTCTCTGTATGAGGGACAGGGTCTGTGTCTGTGTTTGTGTATACACATGCCAGTGCAATGCCCACAGAGCCAAGAGGCACTGGATGCCTTCAGGGCTGGAACTAGAGGCAGTTGTGAGTGACCTGATATTGATGCTATGAACTAAACTTGGGTCCTCTAAAGAGAAGTGTGTGCTCTTAACTGATGAACCATTTTCCAGCCCTTCTTAGCCTTCTTCTTAATCCTGCCTTGTGACTTTGTGCTTGCTTGCTTCATTTTTAGTATGCCATGTTCCTGTCCCTGGTGTTCCTGGCTGAACTTGTAGCTGGCATTTCCGGATTTGTTTTTCGTCATGAGGTAAGTCTACTCATGATGGACAACTCAGTTTAAGAGGCTTTGTGAAGAGGAGTTTTGAAAATGAATGGAATGTGTAAAGGGTGCATACAGGCTAGCCAGAAATTTCCCCCAAGCTTTTACGCCCTTCATCTGGATCCTCACTTGAGTTTTCTCTGTTGCTCTTTCATAAAATGATTGTCCTCTCTGTTTTAAAGCAGGGACTTCCACTATGAATTTAATATTCCTTTGAAAGTAGCTGTTTCCACAAATCACATGTGTGACTCTAAGATTTCTGACACTAGAGGCAAGCTGAGATAATTGTCTTGCTTATAAATCCATTATTGTACCACATAAAGACCAGGAACACGGTAGTTGGACAGGTGCGTGGTAATGGAAGACAACACCACATGGGTTAAATGCGCTGAGCTGTAGTGTGACTGAGTCTTGATGTCTAGCAGCATGTTTTCCTAGGCCCTGTTTTTGCATGCTGAGTTATATTTCCTGGGAGCCTGCCTTTTCTATGTTCTATTCCTTCCCCTATTGTCCTGATTTTGCCCTTGACTGGAGGTAGTATCCCAAATGCCAAAGCTAAGTTCCAGAATCTGTGATGCTGCATCTAGAGGCAGATTGCCCATTCTTACTATCAGATGAAGAGAAATGGGATGAGGTTGTGACCTCAAAAGCCCTGACAAATGGCCTAAGTGCATGTGTAAAAACCCGGAAGTCCTCTTCTCCCTTTTCGTCATAGTCTCTAGGGATTGCAGTTTCATCTTGATCACAAATAAAGGTTGACTTTGGCTAAGTGTCGAAACTCATGGGGTGACAATAGGTCATATTGGTACCATTTACTTGGACTGCTGCTGTAAAACAATCCTGGATTGCCTACTGGGCAGGTGCAGTGTTGTTTCTTGAGCATATGTCCTCAGGGTGTCACATACAGCCTATTCTGTATACAACCCCCAACCCTGAGAGACAACACAGGAAGAAAATGAGGTTATAGAGTTGGGTCTGGTAGCCACTTTGACTTGTAGCTAACTGTCCCATAACTAGTGTCTATCTCTTACAGCTATCCCTTGGACAGTGCTTCCAGAAATTAGCAAGGAATAGGCCTAATTGGGGTAGTTAATATATTTAGCTTTAAGCTTGCCACCAGATAATTATTACCAATTGCTGTTTTCCTAATTCAGAGGCATCTCATCAATTGGATTAGTTTTACCATAAGCCATGTGACCTAGTAGTACACCTAACACCTCACCTTCTTCAGATTTTCAAAGTAATAGAACTTAAAAATGATCCCAAAGGCAAATGTGTTCACTGAAAATGAGAAAGGGTTTCATTAACTTTCTACTAACAAGAAAAGAACTCGTCTTTTCGTCTCTTTTCTTTTAGCCTTGGTAATTACCATTTAAGTGAATGATGGATTCTGTCCCCCTCCAGTAAGATAGAATAGAGGTCAGTTTGGGGCTAAAACCTCAGTCTTCCCATCCTGCTGGTGGTCTGTCTGTTACAGTTCTGTCTGCATGAAGTCAAAGAAGGCTATAGGAAGGAAGTTTGGTATGAATCGATTCAAAGAAAAATAACTAGAAAAACCATGCCTGAGGTTTGGCTAGTCACCCTTATGGCCCTTTCAGAAGCCACCTAGCGATTTCAGTGTGCTAGATCCCTAGTTCCCTCTAAATTGGTGCTTCAAACCAACTCTTTCTTTAAATTCCTTGGCTAGTTAAATCTTTGGTGAATTTTCTGGGCTCCTTTGTCTCAGAAAACAGGGCTTTCCTCCCCTAGTCAGCACTTCCTGAGACAATTTCAGGGAAATGGCGCTGGGGCAGAAACTAGTAGGAATCTGAGTCAGTTTCCGCACAGTGGACTGAAACTGCATTCTCCTTTGTCTTCCATAGATCAAGGACACCTTCCTGAGGACTTACACGGATGCCATGCAGAACTATAATGGCAATGATGAGAGGAGCCGGGCAGTGGACCATGTTCAGCGCAGCGTAAGTTTCAGGGAAAGAGCTGAGAATGGAGCTTGTATGTAACGCTCTCGCCTTAGATCTCTAGGCATGGTAGGTTGGTAGGTTAGACCAGTTGCATACACTGTTCATAATCGTTCTCTAACTCTTGGTCCAGTTCTGTTCTGAAGAATTGGTTCCAAACATTTGTCCAGGATTTGGTTTTCTAGAAAGTTAGCATCAAAAAGGCACACTGTGTCTTATATTGGTGAAAGTGCTAAACATGCCAAGATTACTCCATTTGTCCTTAAAGGATGAACCATTGGAAAGGAACTAGGTGGTGGCTACGTGTCAGTCTAGCTAACAGTTCATTCCTGAAGGCTGGCTCTCTGAAGGAAGCCACTTATTGGAGCCCTGTAGTAAACCTGGAGAGTGGACCAAACAGGAACTAAGGATCTGTTGGGTATGGTCTACAAAGGGGGAAACAATGTAATTATATTTAAACTTCAAAATGTTTTTTTAATGTTTTAAAACAATACGATTTTAAATTTTATTTTGATGACATTTCAGACTTCAGGAACATCAAAACTACAAAGAAGTGTACACTCAGATTTACCAATCAATAACATTTTGGTCTCATTTGCTTTCCAAGTCTCTACACAATAGATCAAAAACCTTTTCTAAGAAGGGAGAAATAGAAAATACTTTAGACAATGGGGGAGGGCCTTATGCTCTGTGTCACAACCAACTCTGCCACCACAGCACAAGGGAGCCATGGGCAATAGGCAGTACATAAACAAACAGGCATGACGGGTTCTCCAAACACCTTTACAGAAACAGGCATGTAGTAGGCTATAGTTTACAAATAGAACCTTTCTGTCCCATAGACACACCACCCTCTCTAAGCTATTTGTTAACTGGTTATTGTACATCCAGTGGAGAACTTTGAGAAAACATTACCTGTTTACCAGTATTCTGGGTGGAATTAATGTATGCATCTGTATGTTTAATAGCACTCTTACATGTCTGTGACATTTAGCAAGGGCCAAAGCCTAGTACTTCACTGTGGATGGTAAGAAAGCCAATATAATGCAGATTCAGCTTCCTTTTCTGAGCTCAGATGGGCACCAAGAAAACGATGGATTGGTAGTAGAGCTTGAGCCCATTTTTTCCATACCTAAGGTAGGTGTGCTATATTGGAAGCCTGGCTGCTCTTTTTCATAAAAAAATGTTTCAGGGCAGGAAGCAAGGAGGCCACCGTGTTTGCTCAAGCACTCTCAAATTCATTTTATTTTCCTGTTATCAGCTGAGCTGCTGTGGCGTGCAGAACTACACCAACTGGAGCAGCAGCCCCTACTTCCTGGAACATGGCATCCCCCCCAGTTGCTGCATGAATGAAACTGATTGTAACCCCCTGGATCTGCACAATCTGACTGTGGCCGCCACCAAAGTGAACCAGAAGGTATGTCTTCCCCCTGGTCCTAGTGAGACAGGCAGTTCACAAGGACAGTTCTTTTGTGACATTAAGACAAATAGGTTAGAAAGGGTAGTCTCGGGGGGAGTTGAGCCTCTTCCTTTGTGGTGCTTGCTTGTCTAGGGCAAGCACTTGAGGCTGCTCGCTTCTGAAAGAGGAAGCTGTGCCTCCAATTGGTCTCACGTGGCTCTCCCACAGCAAGCAGCTACCAAGCACAGCTATGAAGGGTTACCAAATGGTTTCTGTTAACCTTGATGCCCGTGTCAGACAGAGAGGGTTTGCTTTCTTCTTTCTGGGTGCCTTTCTTCTACTTAATATACCATCGAAACATGAAATTATTCACAGCTGGGTGCCAGTCTTTGGCAGGAAGAAGGGAGTAGAGTTGACAGACAGTGTCTGCTTCTCCTAGGAGGACAGCCTTTATTTTAGGGACTTCACTGTTGTAGGAAAAGAAATGAACAGCTCCAATTCAACTCACTGTCAACATCCCAATTCCCAAAGAAGCAGAGAAAAAAAGGATGGTGGAAAGAGATGTGCAAGTTCATTCACAGCGCAAAGGGGAGACATGAACTTCCAGTAGTCAGGGAGAAGAGAACTGAATCCTGGATTACACTTTCCAAAGAATATAGGGAAGACATGGTACAACTGTGTAGGAATGCTATCAGCATTCTTAAACATTTAAAGAACTGCCCTTTATAAGCTATGATTTGAGAAACAAGGGAGCAGAATGTACTGTTGGATTTGCCTATAGTTAATTATCTATGGGGCAAATTTTGTTCTCTTACCAAGAAAACATTCTAGTCTCTAATATCTTCACAGTTCTGTGTTATCTGGGCCACCTACTGAATAATTCATATGATAAATGATAGCCATTCTATTCTCTCAAGATTAGAATATTATGAGGTCATTTCTGTATTTTACCCATTTTATATTGGGATCTGTAACAAGAATGCTGCAAGGTTGTTGCTGTTCTGGGAGCTCATTTTATCATTCTGAAATTTACTTTGCTATTGGTATGATTCGAGAAGATTGGGTATTGACTATCCCAGCCTCAAGAACACCGACTGACTCCTATTGGAATATTCTTTGAGGCTGCCTTTGCCTCTCATAAGACTTTGTTTGACTTTTACATAGGCAATCTCCACTGAGTAGCCAGATATACATATCATTTTGCTGCCATTTTATGGAGTGTGCATCCATGCCTGCATAAGAAACTTTGATTTATAGATGACAAGAAGTGATCTATGGGAATGAGTGCTTTGCTTCATGTGGCTTGTGAAAACAGCACCCATCAAATTTCTGTAAAACAATTTTTTTCACATAAACATTTTCCTTTGGGAAAATTAAGGACATGGAAATCTGAATTCAGAGGCTAGACTCAGTTTAAATTCTGAATAGGCACTTTCTGGTTGTGGGATCTTGGTGAAGTTACTTAGCCTTTCTTGGGTTTGTTTTCCCCATCTGTAAATTATAGATTATAATAGTTTTTGCTCCTTGGAGTTAATATGAGGAATGCATGAAATAAAGTATCTAAAGCATAGTGCCAAGCACAGACTGAGGACACTCTAGGTATTAATTGTGATGCAAATGTAACTTCAGCAATGTTGGCATTACTTTTAATTTCTCATAATGACCCTTATAGGGAATACCTCTGTTAGCCTCTAAAAGGAAGGCTAGGAGCTGGAGAGATGGCTCTGAGGTTAAGAGAGCTTGTTGCTCTTGTACAGGACAGGAATTCAGTTCCAAGTACTAAGGTTAGCTGACCCACAACTGCCTATAACCCCAGCTCCAGGGAACCTGACTCCCTTTTCTGGCCTCTACAGGCATGTGCACATACCCACATACACATACCCCCCATACATACACACACACACACACACACACACACACTAAAAAATAAAATACATCTTGAAAAAGTACAAGGATACTTGGGCCCTATACTGTATCTGTAATTTGTAAAATTATTTTTAGAAGAAAAGACAGGTAGCATTTTTTGCCATTTTGGTGACAGCCTATACTTTGACCTCACCCCCTATCCCTACTACAATCCTAGTTTATTGTTCCCCAAGTACCTCAAAGACTTGAGAAAATCATGTAAATACTCTGTCACTGCCTTTGGACTCTCTCTAACATGAATCCTAGAGAGAAATGTGAGTGCAGCTGAAATGTGTCTGCTGAATTTCATTAGACTTTCTCATGGAATGACTACATGACACTCTGGTACAAATTATTTCTCCTTTTGGCATCTTGCAGCTACCCATATCAACTGGAAGATGAGGAATGGAATGGAGACTGTAGTAGTAGGTGTTCATAAATATCAGCATCCTCCCCCCCAGAAGGGCTTAGTTACTGTCACATTCTCAATCTATGGAATCCTGAAGTTTAGAATAGGCAGGTCATCCCTCTAGATCATTTGCTATTTTGAGTCCTACCCTCTGATAATACAGAAGGATGAACTTTGACTTTTACTTGCTAACCTGGGGAGCATCTATTATACAGATTCTGGGTGGGGAGCAGGTAGGGGGAGGTGTGAACCATTACACAGGATATTGCTTATTTGGCTCAGGGCACAGGGTTTATTTTCTTTTGCTAGCAAGACATGAAATGTCTGCAGGTTCAGTTAGCTAATTGCACTGGCTGAGCCCCTACCATAGGAATGGCATGCCAATTTGTAAGAACAAGAGGAAGAAGGACTGGCTCTGCTTTCTGGAACCTTTCTGGAACTTGCCTTCTCCACATAGATAAAGTCTGCCATTGGCAGATGCTTTTCAATTGGCAACTGTTGATTTAGATACATTGAGAGGGTGAGGAAATTAACCATCCTGTTTCTCAGTGTTTCCTAGGAGACTTAGCATATCTCTAGATTTATCTCATGCTAGACAGCCAGACTTTCATATTAGGAAATTGAGAGAGATGGTGGTGGATAGATAAGCTCACACTTTAGTGCAGGACTTAAGGTTGAATGCAAACATGACCCATGGTTGTAGTATCAGAGAAATTCTTGCGTCTACAGAACTGTGCTACTTGGAAAGCAGGCTCTAGGGCTGAATGACGAATCACAGAGAAAATAAATCATTCTCATCTTCTCATTTTGGTTTACTCTGTTATTGATAGGATGTATTAATTTGGTTTCTTACTTATAGTAAAACTAGGTAACTTTTTGTGGGTTTTTAGGGTTTTCTTTTCAGAAGAGTAGTTCCTTTCCAAGATTTAGTGAGCATATGAAATATCCGGAGAGCTTGTTAAAATAAATTCAAATTTACTAAAAAGTATTAAAAAGGAATACCCCCGCCCCCCAAAAAAGTAAATAAGCCAGGCAGTGGTGGTACATGCCTTTAATTCCAGCACTCAGGAGGCAGAGACAGGTGGATCTCTGTGAGTTCGAGGCCAGCCTGGTCTACAGAGTGAGTTCCAGGACAGCTTCCAAAGCCACAGAGAAACCCTGTCTCAAAAAACCAAAAAAAAAAAAAAACTAACCCAGGCATGTGGCAGATGCTGATTCCACAGGTCTGCGGTAGGGCCTCCAGTTTGGCATTTCTCACGAGTTCCATGATGCTTATTCAAGAACTACACATGATGTAGCAGGGAGAACTATTTTTGCCATAGCTGAACTCATGCCATGCAGTTACTCATGTTTGTGATTGCTCCTACTGGCTGACAATGAGCATATCAAAAATAAAGTTACTCTTGAAAAGTCCAAAAACAGAGCTGGGATGTTACTCTGTGATAGAGTACTTCTCTAATGTATGTGAAACCCAGTGGTACAGCCCTCTCACTGGAGAAACTAAGATGAACACACGCCCCCACCAAAAAAAGAGTCAAAACTGTACTTGTACTTGTAGAAACACAGGCTTGGTTTAAGTGCAGAATTAAAAGCCATGATGGAGGGAGCATAAAAATCTCTGCCAACTAGTTTACAGACTAAGAAAATGGTCAGTGTTGCTTCTATTTGTGTGAGATGATCAGACTTGTGTTTTCATATTTTGGGTCAATCTAATGCTGATGATGTGGAGCTTACTCTCCACCTTGGACATCTATGTGGAAAAAGGCTGTGATGATGGCCAGCTTGAAGAAACACCATTTGGGAAAGCGTTAGAATAGCTGCTTATCTTCCTGCCTATTGCAGCCTTCCTAACCCACATGTTTCTCCCTCTTGCTACCCTTTGGAATGTAATGTGATGTATCATATTGCTAGTAAAAGTGAAATCAGCAAGCTTCTACCAGAAAGAATCAAATTGTACAACTCCCCATGAGCCAGCATGCACTTCCCTTCATATTTCTATCAGATAGTAAGGAGTATGTTTTGTGAATTGCATTGAAACAATGTTATAGCACAGTTGTATGTTAATGAACTCTGTATAAAGATGCTGTGAATATGATAGATCATTTAGAGCAGGAGCATTGGTAGAATTTCCACATGCTATGAGCTTTGTTAAACAAAATTGGAATTTAAAAATGAAGGACAATGGAGGGGTTGTTGTTATTCAGATGTTATTATGACTTAGTATGAACTCCAGAAAAACAAGAACCACTTTGATTCTCTTCATTAAATGTCTGCATTTTTCACACAACTTGTATATTCAGGTCAGAGTCCTTTACTGGAAAATACCCTGTATTCTTTGCTGAATAAGTCAGCTAGGAAATAAGTTGATTTGGTTAGTTCCATATATATGTTCATTTAAACACACACATGCATGCATATGTGTGTACAGGCACACTTCTAGTCCTACTGTTTGATCTAAAAGTAGGGAATTTAGTAGTAATAGTCAGCTTTTGCCTTCTTTGTATTATGGAGGATGCAAAAGAAGTAGGTTTTTCTTACCTTGACTAGGTTGATAAAATATAATCTACCTCAACAGCATTTTAATTTTAACATTAAAATGCTGTCAATTTCTCTATTTAACCATGGTATTTGAAGGTTGTAGATGAAAAGAAAATTTACTTGGTCTTGTGGATAAGGTTAGTGACAGTCTGAAAGGTAAAGTGACTTGCTCAAGGTTACATAGTAAATGCTGACAAAGCAGATTCTAGAATATATTAGGAAAAAAACCTTAAGGGATTCCCTAGGAAGAACTCAAAACTGTAAAATTTGCAGTTATTTGAACACTTTTCTCAGACCAAATGATTTCTCTTTATCCAAGAGTTCATCATTTATATACAAAATGCTAATGGTAGTGTTTGTTTTTCTTTTGAGACAAAAATCTCATTATCTAGCCCTGGCTAGCCTAGAACGTGCTGCATAAACCAACCACCTGTCTTTGCCTCCCAAATGATGGGATTAAAGGCGTGCACCGCAAAGACCAGCCTAATTTCAAATTTTTGGAATAACCTTGGATCTTTGCATGTTTCCTTTTATGCCTCTACAGAGTTTACTTCATAGAACTTTTGTATTTCTTGATAAGTTTAATACTACTAATGACATGTTCATAGGTGAAATTATGTCTGGAATTTGCCAAGGATTGTGTGTTGGGGAGGTCTCTTTATATCTATAAATTATACTATTAGGGGAACTATCCTGTGTGGGTTTGTTTTACTATCCTCTATAATTTTGTATGTTTGAATTCTTTGGTTGGTTGGTTGGCTGGCTGACTGACTAACTGGTTGGTTGACTTCCCATATTTTCTTTGTAGGGCTGTTATGACCTGGTGACCAGTTTCATGGAGACTAACATGGGGATCATCGCTGGAGTGGCGTTTGGAATTGCATTCTCTCAGGTACTCAGATGATGATGCCTATCCCAGCCTCCCAGGCTTGTTTGTCTCCCTGGCCTCCAGAGTCTCCTACTGTCTTCTTGTGCTCTGGGGAAGGCCCATATATGGGGTCAGAGGTCCTTGCTCATTAGGCCTCAGGTCATCTGTTTATTGATTTTTCTTTTTCAACTTAAATGAAGTTTTGCTGTCAAGGGAATATTGGTTACAGTTCAACTAATGACTACATCCAGTACAACAACTTGCTTCTTCACAGGTCAAATGGAGGGTACCAGAACAAGGTACTGGCTTTATTGGACCATAAACAACTCCAAACATCAGCTGGCTGGTCTAGATTTGAGGGCGGCTCTTTCCCTGGTTGACCTTTTCTTTTTTGTTCTTTCTTGGTTTCTGTTAATTACACATGGCATTGCTCCCCTTGAAGGAAGCTCATATTTAGCAATATTTATATTGTGAACATTATTTTAATCTTTGGATTTGACTCTTCTGCTTCTTAAGAGGAAACTTAATTATTTGTGTATCAAACTGTCCATCTCTTTATCTCTATTCACATTTTACATACTAGTGAGAGATAAAATTATGCCAATTAAGTAAGCTAAAGATACTAAAGGATAAAATACATTTAAGTTAAATCTGAAATTTAGCCTTGCCCTAGCCAGTGAGGTCTTGTTTTCCTGGGTTCTGAGCTCTTGAACAAATGATATGTCCTTGTTATAATACTGCTGTAGGTACAAGGACTAACATGTATACTTAGCAGCTTAATAAGAACTATGTTTAACTCAGATTTTTTTCACACTAACAGATCATTTTTCACAGAAATCCCACTTGATATCTCAGTAATGGCTGCAAAGTTCCATGTCTATAGAGGCTATCTCAAAGTCTAATTTTCTCCCTCTGCATCTGTTGTTCTGCTTAGCAATATAAATGCAGTTTTGCTTTATTCCAGGTTGTTCCTGGGATGTTTTTATTGAAATATGAAGTTCAAAGAAAAGTAGCTAAATTTTAACTTTATAATTTAGTAAATTATTACTTATGTGGCTCTTGCTTAGACCAGGGAATAGATCCTTAACTTGTTAGTATGTCTCTGCCAAGCAGAGCTTAGCATTAAAGAAAGTGAGCTGCTTTTCTTCCTAAGTAGTTATCAAAACCTGCATGACATGTCATCTCCCAAGAGCATGTGAAGTAAGTCACTGCAAGTGTCTCTTGTGTTGCAATTTCAAAATCCTCCTGAAACATACTTCAATGGTTTCACACTCCTGGAGTGAATTAAAGCCCCAACATGCCAACACACAGACAAAGCGGAGTGGGTTCACAAACAGTGCAATTAACTCAGTCTCCAGAGACATTTCAAAGGCAGTTAATGCCCTGAACTTTCTCCCAATTGCTGTAACATTTCAGTAATAACAGTTAGTAACATTGTGTAATGGCCTAGGGACAATTTCAAGGATCTCAAACCTTGTGACTCATGCAAATGTGAGGATACACTTGACAGCATTGAGCATATAGTTTCCTCACCACAGGTTTTTACTACCAGAAATATAGAAGTGTGGTGTACACACACACACACACACACACACACACACACACATACACACACACACACACACACCCTGAAGTCTTTCTTCCTGACTTCCCTAGAGAAATAAAGTGACACAATGCCAATACTCCACATAAAGAAAAGAATACCCCAGTGAGCCTGGGATCTTGTTGCTGAAGCTTCTTATCTAAGACTATACCTATGCAGTCATGGGCATGTAAGTGAAACGGTAGGAAGATCTTGTATTCATCGGTAAGATGTATCAAGTGTTGTTCACGCTTCTCTCAAGCATCCCTGTAAAGGAATTTATTCTTTGACAAATAGCTACCTAACCTGATGATGGCTGGTTAAAGAGATATATGGCTTGGGGATGGTTGAAGATGCTCTGTGACACACTAGAACACTGACAGAGGAGCTTTGACTCTGAGGAGCAGGAAAAGAGAAACATTATAGCAGGTTTAGCGAGAGCCACACAGATGTTGAGATAAGAAGAGAAATCACAAAGACCACTAACATTGTGCATTCCCTACCATTCACTTGCATGGCCATGCAGAGGAGAGATTTGACACCTACTGTGCTCAGCTTCTGCCTGGGAGGGAAATGGTTGTAGTTAGTTGGTATTTTCATTCTTTTTACTCTTCCAACTCTTGGGGGCCTTGCCACTCAGCTCCCAAATAAATCTCACATGAGGCTTATTCTTAATTATAAATACCCGGCATTTCACCTTTACTCTGGCTGGATTGCTGAGTGGCTAGCCCCTGATGACCTCGTCTCCTTGTTTTATCTTTCTTTCTTTGTTTCTCTCAGATGTCTCCTCCTATTTCTTCTCTCTGCCTGACAGCCACACCTATCCTTTCTCCTGCCTCTCTATTGGCCATTCAGCTCTTCATTAGACCATAAGGTGTTTTAGACAGGCAAAGAATCACAGCTTCACAAAGTTATACAAATGCAGTATAAACAAAGCAAAGCATCTTTACATCGTTAAACATGTGTTCCGGAGCATAAACAAATGTAGCACACCTTAAAATAATATTCTACAATATTGGTCATGGCTGGCAATTCCCAGATGGACGTTCATGGCTGGTCTTCCTGTCTAAAGATACTAGGAATAGCAGTTATTTACATATGTCTCCATCAACTCCAAATTTCTGTTAGATAAGGCATGGTTTCCAGATACCAATAGATACAGGAACTCCCTGGGGCAATGGTAACTAACCACTTACAAGATGTCTGTTCAGGAAGAATCACCCCATGGAGCCTAGTCAATATCCCAGAGGCCAAAGTTCACAAACTTCATTCAGACACTGTAGAGTCAAATCTTACAAATGCTGGTTGATATAAATTAACGTGTTATGCTTTGACTCTCCTCTAGTAAACAGAGGCCAAAGTGTGGGGGAAAGATCAGCAGCACCTACTCCCTGCTTTTCTCTCTTCCCACCCCTCTGTCCCTCCCACCTTTCACTTTGCTTTGTCTACTTTACATCTTCCCCTTGCCCTTTTTCTACACCCTGGTATGAGAAACTGGCCTCTTGCATACCTATTGTGTCAGATAATAAAGGTGGTGTAATGCTGCATGGAAAACTGCTGAGTCCAGTTGATTGACTTGTAAGCACCATGTCCCTTGTTAGCTAACTTGGCTTAGAGCTCTTGTTCGGATGGCCGAGTTTGAGCTAGCACTCCCCAGAGCTCCTGTTACCTTTGTCCTCTCAAGAAAAGTACAATTGACTGGGCTTGATAGACACATTCTGTATTCCCTATAAGTTTACAGTAAGAAGTGGGGTATGCTTTGATGAGATGTTTCTTTCCTCCTATTTGGGAGGAAACAGTCTCACAGTTTATCCCAGACTCTCCTGGAACTCACTGTGTAACCTAGCTTAAACTCAATTCAAAGCATTCTTCCTACATGGGCCTGGTCTCCCTAATGTTGAGGTTATAGATGTGAGTCACCATACCTGTCTTTCCCTATAGTTTTGATAGCTTCCATCTTTAGGAAGGGAGCTTGGACAGAAATAGAGGAGGGGATAAAGAGAGAGTAGGTGAGAGGGGGAAGGAGAGATGATGTATGTATACTCTTTATTCTCTATCTTTCCATCTCTCCTTCTTCTCTCTCTTCTTCTGTATTTCCCTTCTTTTATTAAGAAAGAGAATAAATCCCTTAATTCAAAGGCAAAAGGAATGTATCAAAAAAAATACAGAACCCATTCCTACCAATTCATTCCTGACCTCTCCCCTCCTTCCAGGGCCTTTGTTGGGGCCTACAATCTGATGGGATGATTTATTCTATGCCAGTAATTCTTTAGGAGTCCCTTAAAATGCCTGTAACCTTTTCTGTATACAGGGTATAAAGAGGTGGGGCTAGTCTCAGATACGGAGCTGTTGCAACATTAATCTTTATGAAGACTACCTGTATAGTTTGGGAAAGATAGTTGACCTATTAAACCTATTTTCTTAAGAAATCTGGAAAGCTGAAATTAAAATATTAAAAAGAGTTGTAGTAAAGATGATTCTTTATTTTATTATATCTGAATGTGTTATACACTTTCAGTATTTATTTAGTTTTTATTATAATATAATTTTTTGCTCTGTGAAATGTACTCTGAAATTTCCTGATCTTGGAAACTATCAGTCTTTTAGAAAGAGACATGCTGTAAGTTTCAAACTTTTTGCACTCCTGGAGGAATTTAGGTTCTCATTCAGCCCTTATACCTTTGGCAACTCCACAGTAAATGCAGGATAATATATATATATTATATAATACATATAAACATGGAATGATGTACTTGTATCTTTAGAGGTCACTGCTACCTATAAGACAACAAGACATGGCCAGTTTCTTAAAGACAAGGCACTATTAGCTAAAGAAAAATGGCCTCTGGACTCAAGTGTACCATTGAATACCTCTCCAAGGAATTCTGATCCACCTGGGTTATGACTATTGGTTACTAAAGATGTGACTAAGGGTATCTTGATACTGCCAGAATCATTTTTCATCAGATTCACCTGTGCCACAAGCTAATCCAAGGCACAAAGAAGGGAGAGACCAGGGTTCTCTATGGAAGTGGTAAGGCAACTATGAGTAGTTTTTGTGTGGACTCTGAAAACTAGGAAGTGGACACTGAATGTATGTGGGCCTGTTTAGGCCAGTAATAGCTACATGATTGAGAAACAAAAAACATTTAAAGCTCTATTTTTCAGTTTCCCCTCTCCCGACTCACCTCTTAAAGTGATGGCTTTGTTATCTCACTGGAAAATGAATCCAGTCTCTATTCTTGTCTCAAGGAAAAAACAAAACACTATTCTGTCAGTCAAGTATAACTAGATTATCACACCGTGTTGAGAAATCTGCCAAATATATTTAACCTTCCAAATAATTCAAAGCTTATGCCTTTGAATTAAAATTTAGCCTTTCTGTTAATATCACACCAATTCCATGTTATTTTTTGTATTAATCTCAAAGCATGATCATATTTTAATACTAGTTGCTATCCCAAGTTGTTCTGAAATGGCCAGAGTGAGCTACTTCTGAACTTTGTAGCCAGTTTAAGAACTTCCCACTGGCTCACACCAGTACTTAGACTACCTCAAATCCGATATGTTCTTCACTCCTGACCTTTGCTCTTTCCATATAAGAAAACCTCTATTTACTAAAAGTTATATCTAGAGACCCATGTGTATCATGACAGCTCATTATGCTGACAGATAGATATAAACGGTTGCTATGTATCAAAACTAAATGCATCTATAGCTGAAGAAGAGTATATCTCTGTGACTTGAGATTCTTCTTTATTTGTTTTCCTTGGCAACAGTTGATTGGCATGCTACTGGCTTGCTGTCTGTCCCGGTTCATCACGGCCAATCAGTATGAGATGGTGTAAAGAGAAGGTAAGTGGCAGTGGGGAGTATTTTTCCATTTGGTGCCCATACTTCCCTTCAAGTGAGAGGAAGAGTGCTCAGCTGCTGAACTACAAGGTGTTATCCATGAATGGAATTCTCACATCTGTATGCTGGGAAGGAGGTGGGGTAGACGCCATTGTGAAACCTTGGGAATGTTTACTCTTCACCTTACATGTGAATAACTCCCACATTTTCTCCTTCTCTTTCTCGCAGTCTTTCAAGAACTATGGAATAAGAGGCCTGTTTTCTAAAAGGAACTGCCGCTATCTCTGAAAGACTTCCAAAGAACGTTAGAGCACAGTACATAACATCCCGCCCTGCTCCCACCACCCGCTCCCCCAAGCCCACCCCCGTGTGCAACTGACACTCCTATCCAGTCTATGCTCTGCCTTTCAGCGCACATCATGTGTAGTGTCCATCTTGTGAAGCCCTGTTATGCCACACAGTGTAGCCATGCCCCCTGCAGCTAGTCATAGTGAATCCCACCCGAAAGCCCTGTGAGTGCCAGCTCTCTCATATGTACTTGGTCCAACTGTAGGTGACTGGTTATCACATCATCACTGGCCCCTTGTGGCCCTGCATGTAGTAGGGGAGGCTTCAGTCAGCCCCTCGCTGTGGTCCATGAATGCCACACACGTTTCCGTAAATAAGCAGATGGTAGTTATCTTTTCTTTTGGCTTAATCTGATTTGGTTTGGTTTGCCCTTTACTGGGGTTCTTTCCTATCTTCTTTACTGTCAAGACATGTGGAGAGACATAGTGGGAGTTATTTATGAGGCGAACACAGCATGTGGCATACATGGTAGAAACTGTTGTTAAGCATTAGGTGGCCTCCTTGCTCATAATTGTTCCACATGTGGGTGTGGAGAGACAGCTTAGTGTAGGATTTCCTCTCAGATGAAACCTGTATAATCCTGTTACAAGGTTATGTTGTTACTCTCCCTGAAGGCGCATATACTACTTCTGATTTGCCACAACTAATTTCTATTATTTTACTTTTTCTTTCTGTATTTTTTTCCTTGCACTGACATTATAGACTTGGAGGACCTCATCAGATCAATTTAAAGTGACTGTAGAGGGGAAAAGAAAGTCAAAATATTTTTTAAAGATCTTAAAAATAATGCCTCTGTCTAGCATGCCAACAAGAATGCATTGATATTGTGAACATTTGTGATATATGTATTAATAAATAGAGCAATTACAAATGGCTGTGTTATGGCTCTCTTCTTTTGATTGTAATTAAAATCTTTGCACACATATTCCAATTCTGTCCTGCTCTTTGCATTTTATATATGGACACAGCTATCTTTGAGTATTCCCACCTAACCTAAACACTAGAGGGTTGTTGTTTTTTTATCATGGATATCTCAGAAACTTAAAATGGTTATCAAGAGTAAGATAGACTGTTAGCCACAGAGTTAGAGCCTTCATAGTACTTCATGTCTCTGCAGTTCATGAAAGAAATACAAAGACTTCAGCAGAGTTTTGAAAGTCTCAATTCTTTTCTAAAATGCAATGATTATCTGTTAATTCTTTCATCGTTTCTATAAATGCATGCTCCTCCGTCTTTACGTTCTCCTCTAGATCGGATTGAGTATGCATGACCTAAGGAACAATTCAATGCCTCAGTGCCCTAATCTGTATTAAAGTATGAAATGCTCACATTTGATATGAATGCCATTTTAACATAGGTATAGTATGACACATGAATTGCAATCATTGTTTTTTCAGCAGATCCTACTGGCGTATGCCACAAAAACCAGTACCAATCATTGTTTTTTGATGAGTCATCAAAAAGAGAAGTGTCAGTAAAAACCTAAATTGATTAGTTGGGGGGCTGGAGAGATGGCTCAGAGGTTAAGAACACTGACTGCTCTTCCAGAGGTCCCTGGTTCAATTCCCAGCTCGCACATAGCATCTTACAACTGCCTCTAGCTCACACAGACATACATGCAGGCAAAAGATCAATACACATAAAATATAAAAACAAATAAATTTTAAAAAATGATTAGTTGGCAAGGTAGTGGATCTGGAAAACCTCCTTATTCCTTGTACAACAGCCTGGAATTAGGATAACGGTGGCTTCCCAGCTAAATACATTTGTGAGTCCCAACTCTGTCCAACATAAACCCTACAAGATATACAAAGGACATTGCCCCTTCAGATGTCCCCTTTGGAAGGTCAGTGTCTTAGAAACATACGCCTCTCAAAACTTTTTTACTATTTTATTTTTAAATTTGCATTGTATATTAAAATGAGGCCTTTCTGTAACATTTTAACTACATTTGATCCCATGGTTCACCATCTTGAAAGCTATAGGGTTTTTTTTAGTGTGTTTTGGTAAGAAACCTATGTAGATTAAATTCAGATCTCTGCATTACATACTTTTAATATGAAACATTTGGACTGAGATTGGTTTTACTTCAAAATTTAAAGCATTCACATTTCAACTTTTAGGAACAATACACATTCTCCTTTTAAACATTTAAAAGACACAGATGTAGTATCTTCCTTGAATCATTAGAAATAAAATGATAGACAAGCTGCTAAGTATACATCTTGAACTTATACATAGTGAAAGCCAGTATACAAAATATTCTCAACACTCCTGAAGTTTTCTTGTTGTTTGTTAGCAACCACAGTCCATATCCCCACCTAGGAGCAGCCACTGCTCTGTACACTATTACCAAAGGTTGGTTTTGTCTGTACTTAAACTTCATACAAATATAATTATATATATATATATATATATATGGACCATTCCATGTACATTCATCATCATTGCCATATAGGATTGCACTCCATAAATATGGCACAATGTGTCTGTTTTATTATTGCTGTGCATTGGCATTATTTTCAGGTTTTAGATAGCATGAATAGAACTAGAATAGACACCATGGCACATCCTTCTCTATGACCATAAACACATGTGTAGAATTACTTCAAAATAATATATGTTCCTAAGTTAGGAGATAGTGCTTAACATTTTTTCTAAAATAGATATAATGATTTTTCTAAAATAGATTTAATAATCCAACCAACAGTACAAAAAGCTCTCTAGTTCCATCTCCTCCCTAGCATTTCCTATTCTCAATGTTTTATTTTAGCTATCCAGTGGATATATAGTGGAATCTTATTTTAATTTCTCTTCTCCTTGTGACTAACAATACTGAATACTTATTTTCTTCCCATTAGCCATTTTGATATTCCCTTGGCATGTGTTCAAGTATTTTTGATTGTCTACAACTCAGCTGTCTTTATTGAATTATAGTAGTTCTTCATATATTCTAGATACCGGTCCTCTCTTTGATAAATGTGTGGCAAATCTTTGGACTGCCAGCTCCCAAGTAATGACAATTATCATTGGCAAATTTTCAAGTATGAAATCTTGGCCTTAACTTAGGCTTGCTCTCAACTAGCTCTTAAAAGTTAAATTAACCCATTTATATTAATCAATGTACCGCCACAAGCCTGTTACCTCTTCTCAGTACTGTATGTCTCACTTCCTCTGTGTCTGGCTGGTGAGTCCTGCCTTTCTTCGTCCCAGAGTTCCTATCTCTGCCCAGAAATCCCACCTGTCCTCTCCCGCCTAGCTATTGACCATTCAGCTGTTTATTAAATCAATCAGAAGGTGCCTTGGCAGAAACACATCTTCACAGTGTACAAAAATATTGTCCCACAATGCTCTTCTCACTGGGGACTTCCTATCCAAGAACAGTCAGTTCTTGATTATAATTCTCAAGAGAGGATAAATAGTCATACAGCTAATCCAAAATAGCAAAAGGCCTTTCTTCTTAGCAAGAGCAATATGTTATGCCACAGTACTGATTGATGTTTCATGAAACTTTGTCATTCATTTGTTGTGTGCTTATTATGATGGAATTGGTTTTTCACTTTGCACATAGGAAAAAATAACTCCTATTTGTTGAGGTCTGCTTTGCATCCTAGTGGGTGCACTGTTTGTTTCATATGTGCCTAACAGTACATGTACTCTCTGGTTGTTGGGTGTGAGGGGAGGACAAGCTGCAACTGCATTCAATTAATAAATTTTATAAATCTTAAAATATTAAGTCCATGTTCTTATGAAGGGTTCATTTGTTTAATACATTTCCCTGAACGTATATTTAAAACTACCCACTAAAACTGTGGATTTTCATCAGACTGTGACGGCACACGCCTTTAATCCCAGCACTTGGGAAGCAGAGGCAGGTAGATCTCTGATGTGAGGCCAGGACTACACAGAGTGAGTTCCAGGACAGCCAGGATTACACAGAGAAAATTTGTCTCAAAACAAAAACAACAAAACAAAAAGATTGTGGATTTTGCCATATTTTGCTTATTTTTAAGCTATACTGCTAGGGACGTGCAAGGTGAACATGCTTCCTTTTATCACTAATAATGATTTCTCTTTAATGTTCACTTTATTTGAAATTACAGTTGTTCTAGGAACTTTCTTTTTACTGATATTTACCAAAAGAATTATCTCCTATCCCTCTGTTTAGTGTGTTTCTGTGTAGTTCAGATATGCTTCTCAGGTGGCATATGATTACATCTTTAGGTCACTGTGAGGCAGCCTTAATTGACAGCTAAGTCTAGTTATGTATTATTGTTACAAACACACTTGACTTTATTTCTACCATGTTACATTTTTCCAAAATTGTGTTTCTTTTTGTCTTCTCTTGAATTGTGTCATCCTATTTCTTTTTTGAAAAAAATATGCATCATATATTTATAGTATAAGGTAATTTACACTTTAGTGATTAACATTAATTTCTTAACACACATATTTGAAATTTAAAGTTAATCAGAACCCCCATCTTCCTCCGAAGTGACACCAAGACTGGAATATTTTGATCCCAATCAACTGTCACAGGCATGGTCTTGATGCCTGACATTTTATTTCTACAATTGTGTAGAATTAATTCTATTAGTGGCTTTATAATTTAAATATCCCTAAATGAGTACCACTCTCATCTTCCTCGTTGCTTCTTTCGTCTCAGTCCTTTGCATTTCAGAGGGGTGTGTGTGTGTGTGTGTGTGTGTGTGTGTGTGTGTGTGTAGCTATTAATGTAGTCTCTCCACTATTGCTTAGTTTGCCAGTTGATCTTATCCTTGTACATCTCTGGAGATCTCACTAGTGTCATCTCTCTCCTCAAGCCTAAAATGACTCGACGTATTATGGTATCTCTCATCCTGCTCTCCTCTATTCTTACCTTGACTCAACCTTCCTGCTCCCCCATGCCTTCTTCTCCCCTCCTCTTCTCCCCCTCTCTTTTTCCTGGTTCCCTCTCCCCTCTTGCGATGTTCCCAATCTGCTCAGGAGATCTTGCCTCATTCCACTTCTCTGAGGTATGCATCTCTCTTTGTATCCTCCCTGTTTCCCAGACTCAATGGCACTGGGATTGTAGGCTGACACTCCCCTGATCCATATCTAAAATCCATATATGAGTGAGTACATACCATGTTTGTCTTTTTGTGTCTGGGTTACCTCACACTCAGGATGGTTTCTTCTAGTTCCATCCATTTGCCTGCAAATTTCAAGATTCCATTGTTTTTTTTTCTGCTGAGTAGCACTCCATTGTGTAAATGTACCACACTTTCTCTATCCACTCTTCGGTTGTGGAGCATCTAGGTTGCTTCCAGGATCTGGCTATTACATATAATGCTGCTATGAACATAGTGGAACAGACATCCTTGTGTGAATCGCCATCTTTTGATATATGCCTAAGAGTGGAGTTGCTGGGTCTTGTGGTAGACTGAGTCCCATTTTCCTGAGGAATCTCCATACTGATTTCCATAGTGGCTGTACGAGCTGGCACTCCCACCAGCAGTGTAGGAGTGTTCACATTTCTCCACATCTTCTCCATCATAAACTGTCATTGGTGTTTTTGATTTTAGCCATTCTGACAGGAGTAAGATGATATCTCAGAGTTGCTTTGATTTCCATTTACCTAATGGCTAATGATGTTGAGCACTTTATCAAGCGTCTCTCAGCCATTTTAGTCTCCTCTATTGAGAATTCTCTATTTAGTTCAGTACCCCACTTTTTAATTGGATCCTTTGGTGTTTTGGAGACTTGCTTCTTGAGTTCTTTGTAAATTTTGGAGATCAGCCCTCTGTCAGATGTGGAGTTAGTGAATACCTTTTCCCAATCTATGGGGTGCCTTTTTGTCTTGCTGACTGTGTCCTTTGCCTTACAGAAGCT